TCTGCGGCCGTCTGGAATGCTCTTTCCGATATTAGGATGCCACTGCAGCTATGCACTTTTTTAATTTAGATAGAAAACGAATTTATTTAGAACTGCTTTATGTGTTCAGTTTGTCCTTCCCATGCAATTCCGATTGTCCTTCCCCTGCACGGTTGGCTACGTACGGTGCGAAAGAAGTTCAACATGCATTCAGATCAGGAATGGTCTCATTTGCAAGAGTGACCTGGGTCATCGGAATGACGAAAGCAAAACAAAGAAAATAAACCCCAGCAACGAAAGAAAATAGCAATAGGAGCAAAAACACCAGTCACTTTGAGAAATCAAAAATATTTTGCATTGGGTACCTGGATGCCAGTAATATGTTGATGGAATCTTAAGGAGTTTTTTTGTAGTTATATCTATTGAAAATAGTTTTACCAGGTAAGGCCCACTAAGCTGTCTAGCTCTTTTTCACAAGCAACCTGGCCACAAATGAAAGCTCAACATGTTGACTTTATGTGGAAATTCAAACAAGTTACATACTGTAAAGGGATGCCTCAAAATATGGAGGGAAAAACTGGAGGACTCGGAGAAAAATCCAAGCAACCACGGGGAGAACATGCAAACTCCAAATATACAGGCATCGTCAGTTGGGATTGAACCCACGACTTCCCGTATACCAGGCGAAGGAGTTAACATCTCGCCATAAGACATCATCACTGGCAAACTACGGAGACATTCCACTTCAGCTGTTATATTTTTGTATGCAACCGGCCATCGGACTTATCAGCGTTCGCTGATGAGATCTCAGCGCCGAGGAATTTCTGTCACTGGGAGGAGAGAGATAAGCAGTACCCTTAGCCCGAGGAGAGGTGCTCGCGTTCACGTAGGCACTTTCAGGCCATGCGATTCGCCGTGTACTATTTTCGGGTGACGGAATTTGGCATGACGATTGCACGCGTGTGAATACTCGTGTGAATACTCGTGTGATGGGGGAGGTGCGAGCGAGGGAGGGAGGGCAGGTTGGGAGTGTGCTGGCTCACGCTGGTTAAGTTATTTCATTGCCTTATAAAGGTCGAGCGGCCTGGGTTTGATTCCGAGACGTCTGCCCAGTAACCGCATGAGTGGCCCTCTAGTGCTCGCACTCGTTGGCGGACGCCCTTCCGGCAGCAGCAATTGCAGGCCTGCACCTTTACCGTCACCAACTCTGCTACCACGATGGGGGTCCCACAAACGTAAAGCAGAGCCTCTCTTTGGCTTCCACTTTGAGACGACTCCTGTTGCACTCTTGGCCTGTCCTAGGGAGACGAGCAATTTGGAATTGCTTATATGTACAGCAATCGCGCGCTTTCAGATGCGCTTCTGTGGCCATCTGGAACGCTCTTCCTTCCGATATTGCTAAGCGACTGGAACTGTGCACTTTTAAATTATTTAGATTGATAACTCATTTCTTTGAAAGTGCTTTTCATGGTGTAGTTGTCCTTCTCCCGCACCTCCGATTAGCACGGTTGGCTACGTGCACTGCGGAAAAAAGCTTTCTACACACTACATACGTGGAGCGAAAACGTCAGGAAAATTTAAGAAGCTCTCTGAGCACGTGGAGCAAAACAGAATCGGAATAATATTTATACTGGAGGAATCCGATGAACTATGAAGCTCTTTTTCACAGATTTGAAAAAAATTATGACAACAAACAATACAAAAACATGGTAGGAGTACAAAGTACAAAAAAGGTAAACAATCACATAAGCACATACAAATAAAACTAAACCATCCCCATCCTATCAGACGCCGTGCCGAACATACATCGAAGAGCTTCTTGGCACTACCACGAAACCCTACACAGCAAAGAGGGACTCAATTGAGAGTCGCCCATTTTTCACTTAATTGGAGGTTATTAAGGACATCAAGATATGAAATATCTTGGGGAGGGGCAGGGCGGGCAGGGCTAGAGGTGGAGTCAGAGATGAGGGGGCAGGGCGGATGCCACAGTGAGCTCGGAGTCTTCGGGATGTGTGGTACCTTAAAACAACAACATCAGCGTCACCAAAAAAAAGAGCAGTTTCCGCTCAAAACAAGCTCGAGGCAGTGCGCATCTCCTGTTTACAACCCAGAACCAGTGGTGTAAAAACTCCACATTCCTATGTCGAGGGTGAGAATATCTATAGGAAAACCACTGATGACGTTCCCCCAAATTGACAGTTATTTTATCGTGATCGAGTGTGTGGTTGACCGACTGCACAGTTGAAAATGATTAGTTTGTCAGAAAGAGATTTTTTAATCCAACATAATTGCAACAGTGCTGTAATGTATTATCTGGGGATGAATCCATGGCAAGTGCGTGGTACATTCGGTCGTCAACGGAATTTTTACATATTGCATAATAGCATAAATCACCTACGTGCTAATGGAAGGACGTGTATTCTGCCCCGTTTATAACATTAACATTCCTTACCAAATAACCCCGAATGTACCTTATCTCATCAGAGCTATAAAGCTAAGCATAGTTGAGCCTGGATAGTGGTTCTATTGTGACCACCTTGCATGCCAGGTTGTCATTGGCTGCCAGGGCGAACTTAGCGAGCAGCAAAGTCCATAATTGTGCTGTGTTTTCTGTGCTCTCCACCTGCACCTGCTTGTATTGACCAGCATAGTCAAGTACAGGGACTTCTCTACTTACGAACTTTCAAAGATAAGGACAAACCCGTCCGTATGTCCAGTTGCTTGTTTGGACCGAGAGTCGTAAGTTCATCTACATCTGCAGAACGTGAAGAACCAGTGGCATCTACAGGAGATGACGTAACTTTTAGAGCCATTCCCTGTGTTTAGCGTACGTGCCGTACAACATGTTTGGAATGGACAGGGGTAAAGTTGGACTTGGGAACAAATCGACTTGCGAACAGACCTTGGGAACTTAACTCGTTCATAAGTAGAGGAGTCTCTGTACGGTAGTGTAGTAGTATATAATATAGTACAGTAGTGTATAATGTAGTAGAGTAGTACTGTACATGCCGTACAACACGTTTGGAATCGACAGGAGTAAAGTTGGACTTAGGAACAAATCGACTTACGAACGGACCTCTGGAACCTAACTCGTTCGTAAGTAGAGGAGTCCCTGTACGGTCAAACAACCCCCGCGACCCTCACAGTGTGGAGAGGTCAATTTCCAGCAGTGGACTGACGGACGGGCCTTGTACGTAAAAAAAACAAAAGTTAACGTCGGAGCGATCACACGCTCAATTGAGCGTTGACACGGTGCTCGTACGTTTACAGCCCTAAACCATTGGTGGTAATTCCACATTTCTAGGACGGGGCAGAGTCTACCTAAAGGGCAACCACTGTTGACTTATTTTTATAGACCCCAACTGAGAATTGAACTCACTGACCTTCCGATTGCAAAAGCGGCTAACTTTAACGGCTGAGCCGCTTGGTCAAGATCAAAAACAATAACATGTAAATATTTACGTGCCTTGAAAAAAGGTCTATTTTTAAAGGGCCTTACATTTACCATGTTCATAAGCAATGCCATGGTCTCTTAACCAACCTCTGGCACTCACTCTGCAGCCTGGAGGATAAAGAAATAGTACATTCTAATCTCCAGTTCTCTGCATGGCCAACTTGTAAAACTTGTAAAGCGTTCTTTTTCAAGGGAGGGCTGGACATTTGTAAACAAAAACTCACGCGGCTCGGTAACAATGTCAATAAACAATTGATTCGTAATCTTTTATTTCACTCACTGTAGACACATGCACCGCATCGTGTGCATTCAAACTATTTACGGTCAACTTGCGTAGGTTATAGGATCGTAATATGTAAACCGTTATGTGATGCCAATTGAGTGGATGAGATTGGTAAAAAAGCTGTTGAAAAAGCCATCGCATTTCATTCGGTTTTTTTACTCAATGAAGTTGTGAGAATTAAAAAAAAAATTGCCCTGATGGTCACATAATGGCACATCTTCTGCAGGTGTGGGTGGGAATATGCGCCAAACTCAGTGGGTCATTGGAGGTTCAGCAGTAGTTCTGTGATATTTCCTTCCACGGGCTGTTCTCCGGCCCACAGGCTGATGATGCCACTGCTCTGGGAGAGTTCCGAATAGCCGCGTCACCTCATGACACCGAATATTACAAGTGGAATAAAACGGGAGGGAAACATGTTTGAACCGAACAAGAGACTGAAATATGATTATCCTCTATGCATTTCACTCATGCCCAGCAGGATGTCGCATGAGGCATTAGGCTTTGACGCAGACCACGATGATACTGGCACATCGTTGTTGATTTTTTTATTTTTCTGCCCGTTGTTTTCTTTTCGTAGCGCTGAGGGTGCACGCCTCATTTAGCCGGCTGAATATCGCCCGCACGCTCTGCCCAATAGGCAGAGCGTGCGGGGGAGCTTCACGACACACTGACTCTTTGGCATTTTCACCTGATATGGCCTCCTGCAAAAACACCAGAGTGGCCCTGATGTAGGCCACAGCGTAGTAGCTCTTTGCTAGGCCAGTTGCCGCCTCTTTTTCCACTGCAACCGAATCACGCCGAGGCCGTTACCCAGCCTCGGACCCAGCTTGGTTTTTTTTCAACTGCAGAAGCCAAGCTGTGCTGCCTACGTCACACGCGTTGATCTAGTCGAGACGGGTGTACGCGTTGACGCTTGTGTACGTCACACGCTGTGAAGGAGTAGAGACGTGTGTAGTCACGTGCCGACGGACGTAACTCCCAATGAACTAGCCGAGATCCTGTAGACATGATGCGTTGACCGCACCTCCAATGAGTACGGTTGGCTACGTACGGTGCGAAATAAGTTCAACATACGTACGCACATACGTTGACACCGTGACCTTTCGGCGTTCCAAGATTAAACGTAGGACGGTTAAAGACGGCGTGTTTGAATGCCCTCTTCCGTAACAATCGTAACACTTGCACGCAAGTCGCGCGGTTGTTTCCGTGACCGTAAACGTTGGCGGTCAGTGATGGAATGCTGCAGTTGCCGTGTGTGTGTGTGTGTCCCCTTGTCGCCAGGCCATGGTGGCCTGTTACCCAGGGAAAGGTGCCGGCTACGTTCGCCACGTAGACAACCCGAACGGGGACGGCCGCTGCGTCACGTGCATCTACTACCTCAACAAGAACTGGGACAGCAAGGTGGGTCGTCCCGCACCTGTTATCTCCACTCTCCAAGTGAGGGTGGGTCGCATGCGGAATAACAACAACATCAACAACAATGACAAATAACAATAACAACGGCCGTGTCCTTGATTCGTCCAGGAAAAACGCCTCGCTGAGAGCCCGAGACTCCTTTCTAGCAGACCTGGCCATAGGGATGCATGGCCAATTGCATTAACTCGTGTTTGGCACGTGCTCATAAACCTGAGCACATGTGCATACGTAGCCCCCTTTGTCTATCCACTGCTGGACGATGGCCTCGCAACGCTATGCGGCTCATGGTGGTTATTTTACCGTACTTTACCGCTCTGGTCAGTGGAGCTTAGCATAGTGCAGAAATGTATTTTGTGGCACTGTCCTCGGCTGCACACGATTAGCCCCACTGCCTGTAGCACCTGTAATGCGTGGTATTCCCCTAAGCACTGGCCAGACCCCTAACCCTGCTTGACGGCTGAGATGTCATGATGTCATATGAGTTTTGGGTGGATATGGATTGACCCGAACACCAGCCCAATTCTTGGCGTGGCAGACCTGGTGTGCCAGACCCCCATCAAGATCACCGATCCTCAACACCCTCCCCTTACCCTACCCGATCCCCGTTGACGCTCTTTGCGCACACTCTAAATGTATCCTGCACGGTATCCGTGGCGCTCGGGGATGGGTGGGGGGGGGGCATGCACCCCACCCACGGTTTAAGAGCCTCTGTGCATGGATGTGGCGGAGGCTGACTCGCACAGTTGTGCGTGCAAGTCGCCGCAATTAATATAGTTGGTGGGAGTTAGGGGGGAGGGGCGAGTGGGGAAAATCTTATACCCGGATTTTTTCCCTTTATTTCTTTAAACATTTATTTATTTTTAAATGAGGGGTTGGGGGGGGGTCTGCCATATTCTGCCAAAGGAAAACAACAATTTGGTGAGAATGTAAATATACATTGGCAAGCCGTAACCACCACAAACGTCAAAGGGATTCGGTGCAATTTTCAGTTTGCTGCATTCATCTGTTACAACAAAAAAAAACACATGGTAATCCATTTATAAATAGCCCACTCGAAGAATAACAACAATAATAATTTTAACAACAACTCAATACATTTGTCTATAATGCTGCGGCCTTAAATGCAAAAATACATCACAGGTGACTTTTCAGGAAATGGCCCTTGTGCTTGAAGAAGGTCCATTACCTGAAACGTCGCCTGCTACCCATTTTTTTCCATTGAAGGCCTGCAGCATTATTGACAAATGTGTTGAGTGAGTTCTTGTTGCTGTTGTTTGTCGTTGTTTGTACATTTGTACACCACTACCCAAAGCAACAGCAGAAAAAACTAATAATTTGTTGACTAAAATAATCGCCTCCATCAATCTCATACCTGTCAACTCATACGGGTTACCCGTATTCTTGTACAGGGAAATTAAATTTTAAGGTCCATACGGCATACAGCCGTTTCAATACGGGCACAAAAAAAGGTCAATTTGTTTGTGTTTCTCCCTTGCGATGGGACTTTGTAGGATGAACGTTGAGATTTTATAAGGGGCACGGGGTGACCAATAAGCTCTGAATTGGTCTGTAATAAGGTAGGACACTGTTAATAGGGGTTGGCAGGTATGCAATTTCAATACACATGTTCAATATTTTAGCACCATCCTCTGTAAAGATATGGAGCTGTCGATCACAGAATATTCAATCAGCTGTCGAGAAGAAAAGTAAGAGAGTCATTAAATATCAGTGGGCAGTGGGGTATCTGTGAATGGAATCAGCCTCGATGTAAATTGTGTTCGTGTTTTCAATGCCAGCCCTATATTTCACATCTTTGGAAATTCACTTTGGGAGAGGACTTCCTTCAGAAGTGGATTCAACAAAGGGCCGTAAATTATTATAATTTTTGGTATTGCACAAATGTCAAACAATTGCAACTGGTTGGCATTGTTCGGAACGTTAATAGCTCCGCCTATCTATAATGCCTCTGCGAGCACACACCACCGCCTTCGCTCACGCACACTGACAAGCATGGTGAAGCATGGTCAAACAACCCCCACGACCCATCACTGGCGTGGGGAGGCCCTCATCCAACGGTGGCTTGACAAAAGGGTTCGACACGTGCATTCGGTAACGTGTGGAGCATTTTCACGCCGCCACCACCACCAAAACGTTGTTTGATGCTCAATAGCACGAAAAAAATTCCTTCATTTCTGGAAAAAACTCCCGCTGAGGGGGTCCCAGTGTTGAGCGCCAAATCTCTACGTTTGCCAAATGCACAACCATCTAAAAATTCCAGCTAACACAAACGTGCATTAGCAGGTCCGAGGGGTTATTTGTCCACTGCTGAATGAGGGACTCCCAAACGCTGTGCGGCTCGTGGGGGTTATGATACCGTACTTTTGCCACGCTGGTCAATGCAGGGTTTGAGTGAGGCGGGGAATATCTACATTCGAGCATAGTACAGCACACCCTTTTTCTCCCGCACCTCCAATTAGCACGGTTGGCTACATCATACATACATACAACTGTTAGTTTTGCTGCACCTCCCTCTGCTGACAACAACGTAGACCCGCAGCAGCCTACAGCACCCATCCAAGCACGGTCCAGGCTCAAACTTGATTGGATTTCCGAGATGTGACGCAATCGGAACGGATGCATTCTCGGTGATTTGGGTCACAGAGCCCGGGAAAATATCGCACGCAAATTTTTCGCAAACTCATCGCCGCAAGTATGGATTTCGCGAGTTGTTTTGCCACCCCCCCCCCCCTCCCGGTGAAAAGCCAATCTGTGCCACCCCTTATCTGCGAGCGATTAAAGCAAAAACAATGAATTTAGCTCCTTATCCATTAAGAAACAGGAAGGTCGTGCGCTGTTTACGTTATCTGTTCCGCCATCAGCTGCGATGTTGATCGCGTCTCTCGTAGTGTACGAAAAACGCTGGGAATTTGCGTGCACGGTGCAGAAACCGCCGACTGTAAACCGTCGCATCGGTTGTAAGAATTGCAAAACATTTTATTTTTCAATGCCAGCCAAGAACTTATGAGCAAGGGCTCACCTTGCAGTCACCCTGGTTTTTAAAATGCGTACGATCCTCCAAAGTCTTTTTTGTTTTGTTCCGCATGATGTGTAATTTCGCCCCATGTGCTGGGAGCGTCTTGAGGAATACGAATTGAATAATAATTACTATTTGATACATTCTTGCCATTCTTGTAGTGCAATGCTATCGCGAAGGTGCCATGTTTGACAGATGGGTATAGTCTGCCCCTAGGTGCCATTGATGCTATCTGGCCTTATTCAAGGAAGTTGAGTACATTTTTTTAATTAGCGCAAATTTGGACCGTATCGCCGGCACACACGGCACCTACTTATTTTTTTCTTCAAAAAACATCACCGGATCTTTAACGTCCACTATAAATCGCACATTACCACGTATTTACCGCTAACATGCCCGCAATATTGATCGGCGGGGGGGGGGGGTGGGGGACGGGGAGGTGCGACTGCCAGGTATCTAACCACAAACCTCCGCTGTTTTGGTCGCATCTCCGCCCTGCACGGCAGCAGCCTTGAGTAACCGTGCGGGGAATTTTGGGACGGACGTGCGCGAAAGTTTTCTCTCGAGTTTGGGGCCGTCCAATAAGCCGTCACGGCAGCGGGAGATGATTGATGGCACATTTCCTCCCGTGCCTCTGGCAGCCGTGGGTGGGGTGCCCCCATTGGGAACGTGGAAGTGACGACGTTAGCTGCACTTGCCCAGCCTCTCCTCCGCACCCCCTCCACCCCCCCTCCACCCCGCGTGCGCAAAGTAAAGGCCGTCTTAACGAGTCTACCGTCACAGCCCAAACCCGGCGATTGGGGTTGTGACGATTTGAAGCATTGGGATCGTGAGCGCAAGAAGCAATTTGAATAAGTGAATCGATGCATTTTTTTTTGTCACTTGGTAATATGAATCGACCCAAACTACGGTGATGCCGTAAAGCATGCTTGTAGGATTCACCGTGACGGTGAGGAAATGATGGGCGGTGACCGTGGTCCAGCGGAAGCGAGTTCACCAACTTGTTGCCGAGGTTCGCGTTTGGAATCCGTCGACAGTTGCCGCCCTGGTTATTTAAACAGAATCAGGTCAGAGTTCATGAAGATTCAAGACCCAGGTTTCGTGTTAAAATTCAAATGCCAGAGGGGTCAGAGCGTCAAGTTGGCGTCGTTGAGATCCCCTCGCTTTCATATCCAAGTTTCATCTGCCCATGGTTAAACCGGTATCTGAAGTGTAACGAGTTGATGGTCTTAGCCTGGTTACCAATGATGACTGTACAACACAAATAATTAAATGCCTGTTGTCACCAAAATCAGTTTACATTATCTACAACAATTGACAATGTTGGTTTGAATTCTAGATTTGAAGTTTTCGTGACTGCAAGGATCCATACTCTTTGGTTCTATTCGGTAAAGTCACGTAGGTAAAAAATAAAACGTCGTGATTTTTGTTATTTTATTTTTTACCTACGTGACTTTACCGAATAGAACCAAAGAATGTTGGTTTGATTTCGATGCGCCGAACACTTGTTGCAGGGAATATTAAAAGAGCGGCCAGAGCGTGGCTTAAAGGGGCCTCTTGAAGGGACTTTAGATCTCCGTTCTGTAATCTCATCTTCGTAGAGCCTTCTCTGGCACGGCACGATGCACTGCTAAGCTACGCACATCTCAAACGGAAATGCGTACGTCTCATTGCATGACTTGAATGGAGCAAGGGGATTGCAATTGGTAGCAACAAAATTACAATAAAGCAAAGGCTCGAAAGAAGGTGGATCGCAACGTCCGAAAACGTTCTGAACTTGCGCGGTGCGCCCCGAAAACATCAGCGAGCGAGATCAACCACTTCATTTCCCTCTTCGTGCTGGAACTCTTGTCAGGAACTGAATTCCACTCCATGTCTGAATGAAAGTCCCCTGAATAAGCTCCCAGCACATGGAGCGAAACGTCTGAATTAAATTCCTGAAGAAGGCGAAGAAGAAGTAGAAAGAAAAATTTCATCGTGTAACACGCCACACAGCATTTGCTCGGAGGCGTGAGGAGGAATCGCAGCCAAGCGGGAAGGCAGCCACACGGTGAGCCGATGCCAACAATTGCCCAAGCTCTGCGGTTCTCTACGTGTGTAGATTTTTTTAAAGTCAATTATTGAGCACATGCAAGTGGAGCACGCACCTTCGATTAGTATGGTTGGCTATGTACTGTGCGAAAGAAGTTCAACATAACAGCAACTGCCATTCGCCACTAAGTGGTGGAGATGTCACCACGGGGCTTGTGCCAGGCTATGTAAGACCACTTTAAGGCCACGTGAAGTGTCGGAACGCCCACTGGCAGGAGGGCATGGGACAGAACCAGGTGCCATCAGTTGACCGATCTAAGATGACTGACTGAAATGCGTACAAAACGTCGGTCCCCGTGCTGAAGAACGCGCTGTACGACCCGAAAATACAGCGGAGAGCTGCGCGGCACTTAAAACTCCCTAGGGTACACGCGCACACACAAGCACGAGGCATACAGTGAGGGAAAAAAGTATTTGATCGCCTGCTGATTTTGTACGTTTGCCCACTGACAAAGAAATGAGCAGTCTATAATTTTAATGGTAGGTTTATTTGAACAGTGAGAGACAGAATAACAACAAGAAAATCCAGAAAAACGCATGCCAAAAATGTTAGAAATTGATTTGCATTTTAATGAGGGAAATAAGTATTTGACGCCCTCTCAATCAGAAACATTTCTGGCTCCCAGGTGTCTTTATACAGGTAGCGAGCTGAGATTAGGCGCACACTCTTAAAGGGAGTGCTCCTATTCTCAGCTTGTTACCTGTATAAAAGACACCTGTCCACAGAAGCAATCAATCAGATTCCAAACTCTCCACCATGGCCAAGACCAAAGAGCTCTCCAAGGATGTCAGGGACAAGAGTGTAGACCTACACAAGGCTGCAATGGGCTACAAGATCATTGCCAAGCAGCTTGGTGAGAAGGTGACAACAGTTGGTGCGATTATTCTCAAATGGAAGAAACACAAAAGAACTGTCAATCTCCCTCGGCCTGGGGCTCCATGCAAGATCTCACCTCGTGGAGTTGCAATGATCATGAGAACGGTGAGGAATCAGCCCAGAACTACACGGGAGGATCTTGTCAGTGATCTCAAGGCAGCTGGGACCATAGTCACCAAGAAAACAATTGGTAACACACTACGCCGTGAAGGACTGAAATCCTGCAGTGCCCGCAAGGTCCCCCTGCTCAAGAAAGCACATATACATGCCCGTCTGAAGTTTGCCAATGAATATCTGAATGATTCAGAGGACAACTGGGTGAAAGTGTTGTGGTCAGATGAGACCAAAATGGAGCTCTTTGGCATCAACTCAACTCGCCGTGTTTGGAGGAGGAGGAATGCTGCCTATGACCCCAAGAACACCATCCCCACCGTCAAACATGGAGGTGGAAACATTATGCTTTGGGGGTGTTTTTCTGCTAAGGGGACAGGACAACTTCACCGCATGAAAGGGACGATGGACGGGGCCATGTACCGTCAAATCTTGGGTGAGAACCTCCTTCCCTCAGCCAGGGCATTGAAAATGGGTCGTGGATGGGTATTCCAGCATGACAATGACCCAAAACACATGGCCAAGGCAACAAAGGAGTGGCTCAAGAAGAAGCACATTAAGGTCCTGGAGTGGCCTAGCCAGTCTCCAGACCTTAATCCCATAGAAAATCTGTGGAGGGAGCTGAAGGTTCGAGTTGCCAAACGTCAGCCTCGAAACCTTAATGACTTCGAGAAGATCTGCAAAGAGGAGTGAGACAAAATCCCTCCTGAAATGTGTGCAAACCTGGTGGCCAACTACAAGAAACGTCTGACCTCTGTGATTGCCAACAAGGGTTTTGCCACAAAGTACTAAGTCATGTTTTGCAGAGGGGTCAAATACTTATTTCCCTCGTTAAAATGCAAATCAATTTATAACATTTTTGACATGCGTTTTTCTGGATTTTTGTTGTTGTTATTCTGTCTCTCACTTCAAATAAACCTACCATTAAAATTATAGACTGATCATTTCTTTGTCAGTGGGCAAACGTACAAAATCAGCAGGGGATCAAATACTTTTTTCCCCCACTGTAGGTTGAACCACTCGTGCGCCGTCACGACGTCCGGCCTCGCACAAAAAGAGGAAGAGAGAGAGAGAGGTGGGGGAGGGGAACTGCTAATGCGAAAAAGAATGTCCAAGCAAAACAAATAATTGGGTGCGAGGAGGCTCTGAGCGGGAGCTGCGCGTGTGCCTGGCTTACGTGCGGGACCGGCTCGTACCCACGTCACCGATGGAAAGATTGCGCGACCGAGAGATGGGATCCTAAGGTCAGCGAGGACATGGATCCCCGCTCCCACGCCCCCCCCTCCCACCTCCCAGGGCCCCGTGCCGCTGCCCACTCCGCATTGTCTTCCTGTCCCGGCGATAGGAGCTATTACACCAATTAGCGACTAATTGGTGTAATAGCGAAAAATCCGAGTGTCCCTGACGATAATAATTCTTTAGAACTGCTTTTTTTGTTCAGTTTGTTGTCCATCCCCCGCACCTCCGATTAGCGCGGTTGGCGATGTATGGTGCGAGCGAAGTTTAACATGCGTACATACGTCTCAGCGTCTGGAGCGAGCGATATCGTTGGCACTGCGTGGGTATTGGTAGCTCCTGCTGGATAGCCTTGCAGTGTGTGTGTGTGCCCACACTTCACTCCGCGTTCCAGGAGGGAATGAATGAATGAGTGAAGAAGCTCCCAGAACACAGAGCGAAACGTCGGGCATCTTGACGAACACCGCGCGGTACAACACGAAAACGCGCCGGGGAGCTGTAGTTGCGCCCGTGCGGTCGCACGAGACGGACGTTCATCCAGCAGTGGTTAAACAAAAATGGCCAGTGACAAGCGGTGGCAATTTTGTTTGTCTGTGTGTGTATTACGTCTGTGTTAACTCAAATGAGTACCTGGTGCAGTGTGTAAACATCAACACGAGGGAGACAAAGGCGGCCGGCGAGTGGTGCTGGCCACTCGCACCCTCGTGTGCCGTGCCGGCCTTCATAGGTGCTCGCTTAACGGCACTTGCTCCGACAGCCCGTTAAGGCTATACGGGGGTGTCTTTGTCCTTGTGTGTGTTTGGGAACGGTGGCAGGTCCACGGTGGTGTGCTGCGGATTTTCCCCGAGGGAAAGCCACAGTTTGCGGACATCGAGCCCATATTTGACCGTCTACTCCTGTTCTGGTCGGACCGTAGGAACCCACACGAGGTGCAGGCTTCATACTCGACGCGGTGAGTGTGCGTTTGCAAAGTGCAAAGGCGGTGCTGGAGCGTTGCATCTGGGGGAGGAAAAAAAAAAACCCCCGAAAGGACTCCACTTGAGGGAGCTCAAGAGAAGCGCCCTCTAGAGGGTATATTGGCCTACTCTTCCACACTGATCAGATGTCTTGGAAGAGCATGAAAAATAAGAATAGGTTTTACCCTTTAAAACTGATTGGCCGAGACCAGAGACAGCCCTCTCTGTGGCCTAGTCTCACCAGTGTCTGATCAGAGAACACCAAAAGGCGAACGGCACAAAGACAACGCCACACATAGCAGAGCATTTATTGCTCGGGGTGAGCAGCGACATCACGGGAACCTTTTTGCCAGTAGCAAAGACAATGCATGTATCATCAGAGCATGTTTGCATGTTCACAAAAAGTGATTTAATGCAGACTTGATTTCTTGCAAAAGGTATTTCTTTGCCGTTTAAACATCTTAATCCCTGCTGTATTGCCAGAAAGGGTAAATCCTACTCTTGTCTTGGAAAAAAAAACTAAACTGTAAACATCATTAGACCTCTTTTGCCAGTACCAAAATATAAGAATAGGGTTTTTCCTCTTTTTTCTGGCAACAAAACTGAAACCTTTTTACAAGGATTCATGTCTGCATTAACCACAATGCCTGCAGTCAAAATGCAAACAAAAGACATACTATGATAATATATGATGCATTGTCCTTGAAACTGATTGGTCCACACCAAGGGACGGCTTTCTTTTGAGCCTCGACCCAATTGGTGCTCAACCAGATGATGCCAAAAGGCGTACAGCTCAAAGACAATGCACTATCAAAGTAATGAGTGTTTTTTGTTTGCATTTTGACTGCAGGTATTGTGGTTAATGCAGACATGAATCCTTGTAAAAAGGTTTTAGTTTTGTTGCCAGAAAAAAGAGGAAAAACCCTATTCTTATATTTTGGTACTGGCAAAGGAGATCTAATGATGTAGATGCTCACCCCGAGCCCTCATTACTTTGATTGTGTATTGTCTTTGAGCTGTACGCCTTTTGGCGTCATTTGGTCGAGCACCAATTGGGTCGAGGCTCAAAAGAAAGCCGTCCCTTGGTGTGGACCAATCAGTTTCAAGGACAATGCATATATTGTCATAGTATGTTTTTGTTTGCATTTTGACTGCAGGTATTATTGTTAATGCAGACATGAATCCTTGTAAAAAGGTTTCAGTTTTGTTGCTAGAAAAACGGGGAAAAAACCCTATTATTAAACTGTAAACTTTTTATTCTACCAGGTAAGACCGTGACTGAACTCTATCGCTTTTTTTCTGAAGTGACCTGGCCACAAATGAAAGCTCAACGAAGTTGCTTATCAATGTGGACATTGATAGCAGCCAAATACTCTATACGCATGTTTCTTAATCTGGAGGGAAAACCAAGAGGACCCGGATACATTTCCATACAACCACGGGGAGAACATGCAAACTCCAAATATACAGGTGTCAGGGTCGGGATCGAACCCACAACCTCCTGTATACTGGGCGAGGTAGTTAACATCTCATAGCCACCGTGGTGCCCCACCATGGCAAGATAGGAGTACCCACGCTTTATCCAACCGCATGCGACCTGCCGATTGACCGTGGTTGCATCCGCTTTATACTGCTGGGTGGACAGGGGTGGGGAAGACATTAATAGACTTGTCCAACGCCTAAACTCCCGCGGCAGGAGTTCAAACCGGCGAACTCTGGGTCGCACGTCCAGTGTGCTTGCCATCACACTGCGGACCCAGAGTACAACGGACGGTCGGGCTTGGCAGTCGGGCGCCATCGCCACGAGGATCGATCTGTACGCAGTTGACGGTTCGATTCTTGCAGCCTCCTGGTGTTTTCAGAACAGAGTCACGTGACCCGCGGGGGCGGGGGGGGGGGATGTTTATGAATATGCCAACACTCGTTTTGTTAACAAAATGAACACCGGCCCTCTCTCTTACAAAGCTGTGGCTCTCTCCGCAGGTATGCGATTACGGTATGGTACTTCGACAAGGAGGAACGCGCTCAAGCCATCAAGAGACACTCATTGGGTGAGTGTGTGAACCCTCGCACCCCTGGGACAGTGTTGAACGCTGTTGCTGCTGCTGCTGCAACAAATGCATGATTCCTGCTGTGCAGAATCGATACAGTTGTTGCTATGAGTATAATTAACTAATTATGAGTAGGTGGCACGGTGGTAACGCTCGTGCCTTGCAGAAAGAACGGTCTGCATTCGATTCTCAACTCGGACACCTTTCCGTGCGGAGTTTGTTTGTTGCTCCCGCTGTTCTGCGTGGGTTTCCTCCAGGTTGTCTGGTTTCCTCCCATAGATTAAAAAAAAACACACAATCTAACAGCAGTAACATCTACGTGAAAAACCTGGCAGGACCCTCCTGCAAATTAACTTTTTTTAATTTTACCAGGTAAGGCCCACTGAGCTATATAGTTCTTTTTCAGAATCTGAATATGTATTTATACTGGAGGATAGTTCATAGGAAGTGACTCAGGTGGAAATTTATTGCAGCCAAATGCCCTAAAATCACGTGTCTAAATGTGGAGGGCAAACCCGGAGCTGGTGAAAAATCCACGCGACCACAGGGAGAGAGACATCGCAAACTCCAAATATACAGCAGGCGACAGGTCAGGATGGAAGCCACGACCTCCTGCATACCAGGCGGGGTAGTTAACATCTCGCCCCCGCGGCACCCTGCTCACTGAGCCTTGAGACTCGGTGAGGCTTTCCTGGGTAAATATGCAAAATAATAATATTATGAATGAGGTTACCGTTTCACAATTAACAGTTGAGTTAGGCCACGCAATTATCTGGCCAAGTTTGTGTTGAATGACCCTCCACCACCCCACGTAGCCAAACAAATCAAAATGGTTGGTAGTGTCCCAAGCGTTGGAACGCCACTAATTATATTTTCAGCCCACCGCTAAGTTGAAGGACCAATTTGCAACCAATTTTTTTGCCTATGCCAGGCGTTGAAGGGTATTTCGACACATTACGAGGCCTACCCAAAAAAATAAGTCATCAATCACGTTAACTGAGATTTAAAGCTCCGTGCTAAGTTAATTAGGCGTGTTGCTGCTTGTTACTGTTACTGAACTTGATGGCGTTGATGGCGATGGCGTTGATGGGAATTAGCAGCCGTACAGCGGTTTGCGGCCTGCATGAGATTAGAGCCTCGTCCACAGCTATAATCACCGGTGGGTCATTTTTTAATCATTCCCCCTTCGTTGACTTAACCAGCACTGACCGTCGTGGTGAAGTATGTTCAAACAACCCACACGACCTTCACGGCGTGGAGAGGCCTTCATTGAGTCGTGGATTATCGAATGGTGATTAACGTAAAATAAAAAATAGTGATGGTGGTGGCGGTGTTGCTGCTGCGGTTTAAGAATAGTGTGGGATTTTTCCATGATGTATTTCACAGCTGGGTGACTGCCGTAAGTTGGCCGCAATCCATCCTGCGTTCGCCAACATTCTACATTTGCTCACAAACACAATAACCCGTTCATGCGTTGAAGCGCGTTTGTTATTATGCTTATCTGGAGTACCAGCACTATTACTGCAATCATGAGCAACATCATTTTTTTTAAATGCTTTAATAAATTCCCGTTTTCAAAATGTTAATTTATGTTTTGAGAGAGGTTTTTTTTTTAATTACGGGCACTGAGCACAGGCCCAAAGGCCCAAAACATCAAGCAGTCGGCAACAAAGAAGTCGTAGTAGGTAAGAGTTTTCATTTTGATTTAAAGCTTTCGTGACTGCAGGGATTCATATTCTTGGTTCTTTCGGTAAAGTCACGCAGAAGGTAAACAATAAAATAACAAAAATATAAAACAATAAAATTCTCACGACGTTTCGACTGCAACACAAGCAATCATCATCTTGCTGTGGTTTTCACACCTGATGATGATTGCTTGTGTTGCAGTCGAAACGTCGTGAGAATGTTATTGTTTTATATTTTTATTATTTTATTGTTTCCCTTCTACGTGACTTTACCGAAAGAACCAAGAATAAGAGTTTGCATGTTTATCGACGCACATCTACTCGAGCAGGGGTTGGCAAACCAAAACAAAAACAAGAGCCGCTTTCTTTTCGAATTCGGTAAAAACAAAAACCTCAATATTTCAATAGCCGCAATGGATGTGAATACGAAACGGTGTGGTCCTTTAAGAAACGTCACGAAACCGTCCTTGATGAGCCGCGTGTGGCTCCGGCGCCGCAGGTTGCTGACCCCTGCCCATGGTGAAACTGGACTAGGGGTTGGCAACCAAAATAACAAGAAGAGCCATTTTTTTGTTTTTGCCTCAAGAGCCACCACTGCAGTCCTTTAATTAAGCTGCATGCGGCTCTGGAGCCTCAAGTTGCCGGCCCCTGCACTAGAGGGTGTGATTTTTACCTGGAGAGGGAATTTTTGTTTTTCTTAAATTGGCAGTGAGGAATTGTCGGTGGCTTCGATTTATTTATCCATTGGTCTCCGCTTAGGTTCACTCGAGTCCCGCGAGTGGTTAGGTTTACGTGAGAGCCGAAGGTATAGAACAAGGACGGTATTTGAGGCAGAGAGCGAGCTGCACACTTCATTTCCTTCAGAAGCTCCCAGCACATGGGGGGAGAAACGTCGGACATCGCGTGGTACGACCCGAAGGCTGCGTGGAAGAGCTACACAGCACAGCCGCGTAGTTTCCTCCGTTAATCGCCATCAATCGATAGCTCGGTAACGATGAACAAATATTTGGCGTGCGTGGAGAGATGGGGGCCGCGTTTGGTCAGCAGGGCTGGCGTTTCGATTTAAAGCTTTCGTGACTGCAAGGATTCATCTTCTTCGGTTCTTTCGGTTAAAGTCACCGCGTAGAATGAGAATAAAATAATAAATGAAACGCCGTGAGAATTTAATGGCTTCATTTTATTACTTTATTCTCACTGTACGTGACTTCGCCGAAAGAACCAAAGACGAGGGCCGGCGTCGCTTGTGGCTGCGGCTGTCGTTCGTCTTACGACGACCGCTGCCGACAGGCTGCGCTCGTCACCGGTGCGAAAGACGTTCAGCAAACATGTACGTTCAATAGCGTGCTTTGCGTATGTCTCTCAAGGGCCTGTTTTCTGTCGGCAGCTGCAGGAGAGAAGGACATGAAGGTGTCGCTGAGCCAGGCGGAGGCGGGGAACCAGCACACCACGCGGCCACCGCAGAACGGCGCTAGTGACGCTCGTGCGAGACACTGACCCAACGTCCCCAGCGCTGTGTGATTAGCGACGTGACCATTTTTCATTATTTCTGGTTTCTCGTGTTCTTATAAAAGGTGCAATTTTTATTTTCTCTCTGTGTGTCCAATTGTGCTATTTTTTTTTTCATCCAGATTTTTACATAATTATTATTCCTCCCAGTTTTAAAGTGAGATTATTATTGTTGCCATATTTTATGTTAAATGGCCAACATTGCAGGTAAAAAACAACAATATTTGTAAATAGACTATAGCATAATAATAATTTGTTTGCTGCTCATGTAATTTTAACTGATTCCAAACGTTTCTTATTGCTTCCAATAGCTGTATTTGATAACGTTTTTAAAAGGAAATGGGTCTACATTCCAGATAATTCTAATGTATGGCATTTCCGCATGAATTCTGAATAATTATATATATTATTCAAGCGACAGTTTTGAGCGACTGGCGCCGTGTCCAAAGGTAGCGTTTTTACTCTGGACTTGAAAAAAGCAATTGGACTCAATGTTACGTGCGTACAGTACCTCTTTTCCACCGTACTAAACCCGTGCCGTGCCTATGCCGAGCCAGCCCGGCGCGGCTCAAGAGGAGGCGCCGCATTTTTTTCCACGGCAGAAGTTGAGCCATGCCGCTGACGTCTCGCGCAATGAATGTGTCCTGTGAGGGCCCTGCGCTGGCTCAGCTCGTATGTGCCAATGGAAAAGGGGTAGTGTATATGTTTTCAAACGTTGGCCTTACATGCCGTTGAATTTGCATGGAAATCTTGTAAATGAATACATCATTGCGTAGGTCAGCTGCAAAAGAACAGCCTTAAAAAAACAACAGTTATCTTTGGGATAAATGCAGTGTGTGAGCAACACAATTTACGTACGTGAAAGTTGACGCGCACATTAAGCCAAGACTAACAGCAGCTGTGGGATGCTGCCGATATGTAATGGTTAGCACACTGGACTTGCCATCTAGTGAACGTCGGGTCGATCTTCTAGCGCGGCAGTTGAAACAACGCTGCAGATTTCTTAAATCCCCCAGCCTCTGTCCCACCCAGCAGTGTTAAATGGGTTCACCACAGTCCACCTTCCAGTACGTCTGGTCACTATGTATGTATGTTGAACTTATTTCGCACAGTACGTAGCCAACGGTGCTAATCTGATGTGCGGCGGAAGGACAGCAAACGAAACACAAACGGTAGTTCTAAAGGAACAAGTTTTCAATCTATATTTAAAAGTGCATAGCGCCAGTGGCTTCATGATATCGGAAGGAAGAGCGTTCCAGACGGCATCTGAGAATTTTTTTATGGAAACATTTTTTTAGCTAATTTTTTTTTACAATATGTAAATTTATATAAGAGAGATGATACATCTTTAAAGTTCGCATTTGAGGGAAATCGTCCACATTGCAACCCCAGGTTTGTTGTGGAATGTCAATATTCATCAGACGGGGGGAGGTTTGTGCATAGAACATCTGCTGGCAGACTAATGCCCATTTGTAGACAAGTGCTGCATGTCTTTTCGCACACAGGGACAGCTGCCACTGGGGGGGAGGATCTCCTTGGCTAGACCTGAAGCAGGTCATCGGAATGGTTGCTACGTGGTGCTTTGAGTGACGGAGGCAATTAAGCGGCCTGGAAATGCGCAAATCCTTATCCTTAAAAAAATGTATAATAATGTAAATACGTTGTATAAGAATGCAATGGATTCTTCAAAAAACCATGCAAAACATTAACGCAGGAAATAAAAACAAAAAATGATGTACATTTTTTTTAAATTGTGAAAATTTGTTTACAATAACAATGCTGTCGATATTTTAAATGTAATTGATGTGGCCGCATGAATAGTATGATGAAATTGCAGCTGCATGTACACACTACGTATAGCATTATGACCGGGCACCCAGTCTGCTGTGCAAGATCTATTCAACCATTCCGAGATTTACGCACGGTACAACGTTGCACATCTGACTCGCTCGGGACTGCAGTATATGCAGAAATGCTAAATAGGCAAAGATAAAGCGCAAACTGCTTTAACATGGGTCAAAAGCTTCACTGTGCTCTAGAAGTGAGCGAATGTACGCAAGATTAATAATGCATTTCTGTTTGTCAAAAGATTGTGTAATTGAACATCTGTAAAAACGACATTTGCACCGAGCTCAAGTGCTGCATTGGGTGTGGGCGGTTAGCCGGCCAGGGCAAGATTTACGATGTGACAACGTTCGGGATATGTAACGTACCACCTGGAATCATTTTTAAATGCTGGTATAGATTTAGGTACCCAATCTTTGGGTTCCGCCTGCAACCCGGTCATTCTGCCCACGCTTAAACACCGGGAAGAACGGAGTTTCGGTCGATATCTCGGTGGCAGAAATAGGGAAAGGCTAACGTGGTTTTGTTAGAGTGCATTAGGTTGCAAAATCATTTGGATTTAAGCACACCCCTTGGGGGCAAGACCACGTGAGCTTATATCAGAAGTAGTGTTCTTGTATCTAAAAAACTGCCCATTTCCTTCCCCCCCATCACGTGTAAAATGTAAGGACGTGTTGTGTATAATACAACTGTGCTTATATACATCTTAACTGTCTTAAAAGAAAAAAGACCTCATTGTAAATATCTGCGGTCGTGAGATGCGTTACCGGGTAACGTGTAATCCAATCTTAATATTCTGCCTTTTGTACTCTGATGGGGGGGGGGGGTAGGGCTCGTGGACGAAGTGCACGCCACTATAGCAGGAGTAGGTCAAGTCGGTTGCTGCGATCGAGGAACGACAGTCGGCCCGGTTAAGATGTTTACATCAAAATGAAAGTGCCATTATTGTGAAGCTGGCAGTGAACTTGGCTTCCAGAAATTAGAGTACCCACTACTTTGGTCCACTGCCTGTTGTGTGTCAGATATCGTCGGTCGTCTTGTTTTTGGCTTTGTGGCAGATGTTTTTTTTTTAAATCGTCACGATATGAAACAAGAAAAAACACGTGTTTTGTGCGCGTTAACGCAAGCATAAATAAATATGCGTAAATAAATTGTGAGTCTGGTTTAGCGGAGAGACACGTTCATGGCTCCTCACGATTGGCCGGGAAATAACTTTGCCTAACCTAAGCGTTGTACATTTGTTATGTTTAAAATCCAGTGGTGGTTGGTCGGTATGTGCTACTGGAGCAGCATCCCACTTAAAATGCTACTTTTAAAGAGAACGCGTTTAAAATATATCTTACATTTTTAAGTAAAAAAAAGTTCAAAGCTCCATTTAAAAGTTAAAAAGGGGCGAATTTGAATAATTTATTTTGTTTCGGAGTTGAAACCATCCGGACAAGAATTGAAAAACGGAGCGCCAGATTCCACCACCCCAGTGAGATCCACATTGTGGCTTCGCAATGGTTGGTTAACCATTAAAACCATATCAGCCCAAGCTAATATCGTAGGTGTATTAACCATAAATGGTATACATCGTCTGCTTCGCCGTGGACATTAAACATCCCTGGGACTTCGAAAAGAGTCGGGCATGGATTCCAGCGTCACGGTCCACATTTGACCAATTTGCTGCAAACTAACTCAATTTGGAGATTACAAGAGTAATCGTCGCCACTTAACTACAAAACTACTGCATACTTTGTGAGAACCTTCATGATGGCCTTTCGCTCCAACGATTTCGTTTGAACGACACCACCCCACCAAATGTGATCCAACAGCCGCCAATCTTGCAAATCTCAACGATGAAGCTTTCGGTAATAGGGTGTTGTCAATTTTGTGTGTGCTTTGAGACAACTTTCCAGCTCGCGAGTTGAAACTACTAAGCAACATAGCTATCGCCTTAGTGTCTTTGTATTGCTGATTAACTTGACATCTCTTTCACTTAGCTTAACATTGGAATCTTGCCTGTTTGATGACCGTGTTTATGAATTGTTCGAACTCAAGTTTTCATGCGGAGAAGGGAAAAAAAAGTATTTTGTAAAAAAAAAAGCTGTACAGTTTTGGCACTCGTAATTTCACGTACATTAATATCAGTATTGATCTATATTTTTGTTGCAGTAAACCAATAAATTAGTCACTTTAGCGCCTTACAGGTGATCAAAAGAGGAAATCAACACGGAGTGATGAAGTGTTAGTGTGATTACCGTCGTTGGAAGGCTCAATGCTATTTCTGTCGGGGGTTCCATGTAGGTTGAATTAGACGCGTAGCAAATTTAATCCAAGGTCGGTTCAGAAAATATACTACGTAACTATTTGATTTTAATATTTTATGAGAAAACGAAGTGATTTGATCCATGTACCTTTCTACCTGTAAATTATATATTGTACATTAAATACAATTTAAAGTCAACTTTAATGTTTTTTTCTGTTTGTGTAAATATATGTATTTTTTCCTTTCGATTGCATCCTAGAAGCCCATGTTTACCTTGCCCTTATCAACCATGGTCATTTTATACAGCTGGGCTATCCGATTATTCTGCCGGTTATCGGGTCGAACAAACGATTAATCGGATAACACGGAAACACTTGGGGGGGGGGGGGGGGGTCGGGGAGGAAAATAAAAAATATTTGCTACGATCACCTGTGACGCTGGCTGAGAGATGATGGGCAGGACTTGATGAGCCACGTCACGTGGCTTTTATGGGGTTTCCGGCCTTCAGGGGGCACGATGTTTGGGATTTTTTTTTCAAGAATAATTTGAAAATCGGGAGCACGTCCCTACTCGGCAGCAAGAACGTCTCTTGTGCCATGCTTGCGCCGCGCTGTGCCTCGCACTCACGCAGAGTGATCATCGCTTTACAATGCCCCACCAAAAAATGCCCCACCAGTCTGTTCAGGCTAGCGAGGGGATCTTTGTGCGTTGAACTTCGTTTCCTTCTGTACGTTGCCGACCGTGCTAATCGGAGGTGCAAGTGCCGATACCCAACATCGATTAAAAGCCGGCAAGGGGTTGGCTTGCTCGGCACCACGCCCGGCCACCTTTGTCTCCCCCAGTGCTGATGTTTACACACAGCACCGGTCACTCGTCGATGACGGAGTGTGCCTGTTCCTGTTTGAGTTGATTTCTCAACGGTTATAGGGAAGGCAAAAGCTCCAACAAATATGACTGCTCTCGTTTTAAAGCTTTCGTGACTGCAGGGATTCATATTCTCGGTTCTTTCGGTGAAGTCACATAGAAGGGAAATAAGAACATTAATAATATTATTTTTATTATTTCGTTCAAATCAATATTATTTTATTATTTCCCTTCTACGTGGCTTTACCGAACGATAATAAAATAAATATTACTTTATTATTTCCCTTCTACGTGGCTTTACCGAAAGAACCGAGATTAAAAATATGACTACAATACGTAGACAACACGCATCTCACTCATATCTATCCCTCCACATAACAATGTGTGTACTGCACACACACAATGAGTGGTGACCTGCACAGTGCTTGGTAGACACTATGTACTATACACACGGCGTCTATCGATGTTCCGTAACATGAGAGACACTGTCTATGTGCTGCACACACAGTGTCTACCACTAACCCGTACATGGCAGTGTGTATACTGAATACACACAGTGCACGTATCTACCAATGACCCGTATACACACGGCCTGTGTATGAATGCAACACACGGAGTGCCTACCACTAACCCGTACATGACATAGACACTATCTCTGTGTCTGCCACTAACCCGTACATGACATAGACTCTGTGTCTCTCTGTCTACCACGAACCCGTACATGACATAGACACTGTGTCTCTGTGTCTACCACGAACCCGTACATGACATAGACACTGTGTCTCTGTGTCTACCACGAACCCGTACATGACATCGACACTGTGTCTCTGTGTCTACCACTAACCCGTACATGACATAGACACTGTGTCTCTGTGTCTACCACTAACCCGTACATGACATAGACACTGTGTCTCTATGTCTACCACTAACCCGTACATGACATAGACTCTGTGTGTTTGTGTCTACCACTAACCCGTACATGACAGACACTGTGTCTCTGTGTCTACCACTAACCCGTACATGACATAGACACTGTGTCTCTGTGTCTACCACTAACCCGTACATGACATAGACACTGTGTCTCTGTGTCTACCACTAACCCGTACATGACATAGACTCTGTGTCTCTGTGTCTACCACTAACCCGTACATGACAGACACTGTCTCTGTGTCTACCACTAACCCGTACATGACATAGACACTGTCTCTGTGTCTACCACTAACCCGTACATGACATAGACACTGTGTCTCTGTGTCTACCACGAACCCGTACATGACAGACAGTGTCTCTTGTGTCTACCACTAACCCGTACATGACATAGACACTGTCTCTGTGTCTACCACTAACCCCGTACATGACGTAGACACTGTGTCTCTGTGTCTACCACGAACCCCGTACATGACATAGACACTGTGTCTCTGTGTCTACCACTAACCCCGTACATGACATAGACACTGTGTCTCTGTGTCTACCACGAACCCCGTACATGACATAGACACTGTGTCTCTGTGTCTACCACTAACCCGTACATGACGTAGACTCTGTCTCTGTGTCTACCACTAACCCGTACATGACATAGACACTGTGTCTCTGTGTCTACCACTAACCCCGTACATGACATAGACACTGTGTCTCTGTGTCTACCACGAACCCCGTACATGACATAGACACTGTGTCTCTGTGTCTACCACTAACCCGTACATGACGTAGACTCTGTCTCTGTGTCTACCACTAACCCGTACATGGCATAGACACTGTGTCTCTGTGTCTAACACGAACCCGTACATGACATAGACACTGTGTCTCTGTGTCTACCACTAACCCGTACATGACATAGACACTGTGTCTCTGTGTGCACTGCGTAATGCAGCACACGCATTGACACTGCGCGGAGTCACGTGCCACGTGTGGTCACAGTGGTGACGTCACGGCCTACGTAATCGCCGGAAGTGGTACGGTCGGCCCACAATGCACTGGTATTTGGCACGCGGCGGTTGCGTTCCTTGACCACGCTTCGTTAAACTTCTACAAACATCGTCGACTCGCGTAGACTCCGTTGACTACAGTCGTTAACATCGTTAACATCGTTAGCAATTCCTTTGTGAACATCTACAACTTGTTTTATCGTCAACGTCAAAACGTGAGTACACGTTACATCCCCACTCGGTCGACACGAGATAGACTCCGCGTGATAGACACGGTCTCTATGTACTGTACATACACACACACAGTGTCTACAGCTAACCTGTACATGGTAGACACGGTGTCTATGTGCTGTACATGCACACACAGTGTCTACCACTAACCTGTACATGGTAGACACGGTCTCTATGTGCTGTACATACACACACAGTGTCTACCGCTAACCTGTACATGGTAGACACTGTGTCTATGTGCTGTACATACACACACACAGTGTCTACCACTAACCTGTACATGGTAGACACGGTGTCTATGTGCTGTACATACACACTGTCAACCACTAACCTGTACATGGTAGACACGGTGTCTATGTACTGCACATACACACAGTATCTACCACTAACCTGTGCATGGTAGACACTATACATGGTAGACACTGTGTCTATGTACTGCACATACACACACAGTGTCTACCACTAACCTGTACATGCTAGACACGGTGTCTATGTACTGCACATATACACAATGTCTACCGCTAACCTGTACATGGTAGACACGGTGTCTATGTACTGTACATACACACACAGTGTCTCCCGCTAACCTGTACATGGTAGACACGGTGTCTATGTACTGCACATACACACAGTGTCTACCACTAGCCTGTACATGTAGACACTGTGTCTATGTGCTGTACATACACACACAGTGTCTACCACTAACCTGTACATGGTAGACACGGTGTCTATGTACTGCACATACACACAGTGCCTACCACTAACCTGTACATTGTAGACACTGTGTCTATGTGCTGTACATACACACACAGTGTCTACCACTAACCTGTACATGGTAGATACGGTGTCTATGTACTGCACATACACACAGTGTCTCCCACTAACCTGTACATGGTAGAAACTGTGTCTATGTACTGCACATACACACACAGTATCTACCACTAACCTGTGCATGGTAGACACTGTACATGGTAGACACTGTGTCTATGTACTGCACATACACACACAGTGTCTACCACTAACCTGTACATGGTAGACACTGTCTATGTACTGCACATACACACAGTGTTTCCCACTAACCTGTACATGGTAGACACGGTGTCTATGTACTGCACATACACACACAGTGTCTACCACTAACCTGTACATGGTAGACAGTGTCTATGTACTGTACATACACAGTGTCTACCACTAACCTGTACATGGTAGACAGTGTGTCTGTGTACTGTACATGCACACAATGTCTACCACTAACCTGTACATGGTAGACATTGTGTCTATGTACTGGACATGCACACACAGTGTCTACCACTAACCAGTACATGGTAGACACTGTGTGTCTATGTACTGCACATACACACACAGTGTCTACCACTAACCTGTACATTTTCTTTGGTTCTTTCGGTAAAGTCACGTAGAATGATAATAAAATAATAAATTGATAAAATAAAATAACACAATAATATTCTCACGACGTTTCGGCCACAACACAAGCGGCCTTCATCAGGTGAAGGGGGGCGAGACTGTCTGGTAGGACAGCGCTGGAGTGAAAGAGCCACGTTCAGATACGGCCTTTAAGCTGTGTGAGAGGACAAAGCGCCTTGACAAAGGAATTAGCATATAATTTAGCATTGAAATGGCTGAATGATTAGCTTGTGACTGGTCACAGAAATAGCTATGTTAAAAGTTAAAGCATACGCACCCGCAGAGGCACCCATTGTTAAAGGGATTAGCATAGAATTTAGCATTGAAATAGCTAAGTTAAGGCATACACATCTTGACAATGGAATTAGCATAGAATTTAGCATTGAGAAAGCTGAGTGATTAGCTTGTACCTGCTGCAGAAATAGAGCTTGTACCTGCTGCAGAAATAGCTACGTTAAAGTCAGAGCATACACATTCACCGAGGCCCTTAGTACAAATCAAACAGGAGAATTTAGCATTGAAATAACTAGGCGAATCCAGCATTGAAACAACTGAGTGATTAGCTAGTGACTGGTCACAGAAATGACTACACATCTGAGCTATTCACAGTACTATATAGTGAACCAATAAAAACTAAAATATAAATTACCTTCATGTTATCAATAAACTCTATATTCTCCAATCAGCTAAGCTACCAACAATAAGTCGTTATATATCACAATGCTATATGGCGAAAAAATGGGTGGATTCTTA